GAGCCGCAAAAACATGCAGAGAGAGGCTGCAGAAGTGTTTGGCACAGCAGTTGCTTGACATGATGATCGAGGATGTTGTTGGCGTTGCATGGCCTTTCAGCTAGGCAATTTGTTCAGGAGCTGACGTAATTCATGTCAGCTCATGCTTGACTTTCGGCAGAGACTCTTTGAGTGCTGCGGAAAGCAAGTTACAGGATGAGAATGGATGAGATGTCAATATTATGTGTTGCTGTTGCATTTAAGTTATATCAACGGCACAAGGGGCAGTTAATCCTAGACTATTGCCCTCCTGACGAAATTTTTCTCAGCAGCTGCTTAGCACATATGAGCATAATAAGTTGGGCACATTTCAGAATTAGCTCAAGAACCGCTGAATCCTAATTTGAGAGATGCAAGAACTTGGACAATGGCATTGCACATTGCCGCCCATCAAGGCTGCGTGGAATTTGTGTTGCTGGAGGCTGGAGCTGATAAAGCAGCAAAGACAAATGGCGCAACGGCCCTGCCCATTGCAGTTCGGAACGGCCATGTGGAAATGGTGCGATTCTTGCTCGATGCTGGAGTTGACAAGGATGCAGCAAAACCAAATGGGGTAGGGTATATAGCGGCTTTGCATGTTGCAGCCCAGCACGACCACCTGGAAGTTGTGCCATTGTTGCTTGTGGCTGGAGCTGGCCAAGATGCAGAACATGTATATGGGGAATCATGTCGGGCAACGCAACGTGCGCGGAAGTTGTGTGATTGTTGCAGGATGCTAGAGCCCAGGTACACGCCGTGGCCATGGTTTTCATCAATCCCGCAACCATCGCACATGACACACTATTACAGTTTGTGAGGGTAACTACTTGAATTATATATATATATATATTGTTGACCAGATGCTGCAGCAGAGGAGTGCTCTTGGCTGATGGGCTCGGATCAGAACGGTCACATGTAAGGAGACTAGACTTAGAGCTGCTGACTTACCATGTAGCCCTGTGAAACAAGGGCACTCCTCAGCCACTGGACTGTCCAGCTTCGGTCTGAACCATGTGCAGCTGACTAGACTAGACACATGATACAAAGGCGGTGTTTTCGTGACCTGGGAAGGTGCCAGCCCGAGGCCCGACGTCGCCCGAAGACAGGTGGCTTTGGCCTTGGGGGCTATGGACCCAGAGTTTGGCACAGTCAACGTGTTTGTTTTAAAGGCTCAAGTTGACACAGGGTAGCCTCCTTCAACAACTTCTAGCCATAGTATATATATATATATACATCAATATCTATGTATATATATATATGTAGTACATAATGTATATTATAGTCTTATATAGGTTCATGTTGTAAATGTCCCTAAGGATCATTGGACCCTCAAAACCTTCACCTTTGAGGTCCTTGATCCTTAGGGATATATATATATATATACATACAAATGTAGATTAACCTACATTAGATAATTTTGCATATATTATATCAGTTGTAGTCTAATTTATGCAATGGTAAAGGCATTTTATGTTGAACGTTTCGTCACCCCAAAAACGATAGGGACGCCCTAAAAAGGATACCCTAAAACGATACCCACCGCAAAGTGTCAAAACCTGAAAAACGATAGGGGACGCCCTAATTTACTTATGAGTACAGCCCAAACCAATAGTTTAGACATATAATGTGTATATATTTTTGTTTCACACACACACACATATATATATATATTTAGTACTCCACATGGTGAAATGGATCAATGGATGCTGCATGCTTCTGGCCATTCGACTTCGTGCGTCCAGGACTACGGAAAGGCCGGCCTTTACCGCGCACGGAGTGTGCTGCCGACCCTGGCGGAGCGGAACCCCCTCTCCGACCTGCAGGCCCAGCGTGCCACCGGGTGGGCGATGGATGAGAATGGACGATGAGAATGATGAGAGTTGGGTGTTCACACCGAACACTTAATAGAAAAAAGCAAAGTGAAACAACAATAAAACGATCACTAACAATCTGAAGCTTAACACGACTTGAATGTCTATTAATCCATTGAAATGCGGTCGGTCGCTCATCGTTCACCCCTACTCAGCTTGGGCCGCTGTTCTGCTTGGGCCCCCACTCCGCCGGCCAGGCCGGCTATGCGGCGGCGCCGGTGCTCTTGGGGCATCCGATGAACCGCTCCGAGCGGCCGTGGGAGCCGATGCTTGGGCTGGGTCGACCGTGGGGGCAGCCGTTCCGTCGACACGCTCAGCGCGCTGCAGATCGACACGTGTTTGTTTGTTTGCGATTGAAAAAGAATAGCGTGAAAGGGTTGGTCAAAGGGTTCAAGTTTCAAGTCCCGGGTTTGGCAGCCTGGGGTGGCTGACATGTGGGGTTTGGTCTTCCCACCGGTGCCATGAAGAGAATAGACGACTGGCGACGGTGTTTCCACCTACCAGGGTGAAAAGGGGCACAGCCGTGACCCACAGCCATCCCACAGGCATTTTTGGACTAAGAACACCCTTGGATGTTGGAATTGACATCTGGAGTTGAATGAAATGGAACCTCTCCAGGTCTCTGTCTCTGAATGGCAACGCGATCCCGGTGGCCCTCAGCACTAAGTCAACACTCACGCCAAAACAGACGAAGTCCACATACCGTGCACCGTTCCAGAGATTCGATTAGACTGGCATAGTCATCGACCCCCAGACTTCAGACCATCCATGTGCGGAATAGTAGGCGTTGTAGTGGGTAATGTGGACCATCCATGTGGGTGATGTAGTCCTTTCCATAAATGGAATAGTAGTTACTTAACCATTAGCCCTTTTGATGAGCTTAATGCAAGTAACTATTTTCCCACCGATCTGGGTACGTTGACCTTTGCTTTTCTTCCAGTCCCATCAGTCGCACTTGGCTCGACCAATCCGTTTTCGGTCGAGACGAATTCCACGACAAAACCACGACCGCATCTGCCGGCCCGCGCCGCCACTCGGCCAAGGAAGTGCGACCTCGACTGCAAGACGCAAGTCCCCGAGCCTGGGTGAAGGGTTGAGTTGAAGGACGGTGGAGTCAGATGTGTGGAGAGGGACAGGGGAGACAGGGGAGCAATCCAGATTGCACCTCAAGTGCACCCAGATTCTACTCAAGTGGTGCAGTTGATTGCGAGTTAGGTGATGATTTTGACAGGGTCAGTTCGCAGCTTCGCCCTGGGGGGCCGAGCACTTCAGTTCACACGGGCATTCCTCTCGTGACTTCTCGGGCATTCCGTGTGGGGTGAGGGAGGTGGGTGCATGTGGGTGCCCGACTGTGGGTGCTCATGGGTTGGAGTTTAGGCATGTGCTCGCTGGTTTTCCAACAGAGGTTGAGTGACCTTATAGGACCCTACCAGGGTACCTATGGGATAGCCTATAGGGTTCTTCAACCTTTGTTGGTTTGTTTATGTGCCTTCAATTGTCAAGTTATTCAGTAATTACGTTTTCAGGTTGCATATTGAAGCCAAAGTCCACATCATGTTGTTGGATGAGCGAGCCTGCTATTTGACATTCACCCTTTTTGGGTGAGGCCTTGTTACTGTATGTGTAGGAAACCTACCCTGGGGGGAAGCAACTGGGAAGTATTACATGGCCTGCACCAAGAACCTGCTGCCTTTCCAAAATAAAAACCATTGGCCAGCACCATCCCAGCAATGATTGCCATCCATGTCTGCAATCCAAGGAGAGCATTTTCAAGGCACTCGGAGATGTTGGATGTGTTTCGTTCCGGAAACCCTGGGGCTGTGAGAAGTGCAACCCCTCGACCTGTGATGTTTGTGCCTCCTTGTTCTTCTCATTCGAAGAACCAGGATGGAGGCCTCAGACGCATTCTGTTTTAGCTTGGACGACTTTAAAGTTGAAAGACGTTTAAAGATAAGTATGGCAGGGAAGGTGCTTGATAGCATGGTAAGGTGTTGAAGGTAAGGTGCTTGCAAGCAGCATGAATTCATGGGCAGGGTGGTAGCTTGTGACTTGTGAGTTTGCCTACCACTACTGTGTGCAGGTCCAGTCAATCGCCCCAAAAGGGACTGTGGGGACCCTTTGACCAACAGTTGTAGTGCTTTGGACGGCAAGGAATTGATTGCACTGAATATACATAATAATCCCCTAAGAATGAGTACCGGGGGTCCGGACCCCCTGCCGTGGAGGATCCAAGGATTCGTACATATTTAGGTCTGTTCTTGGAGGTGTAGATCCAACATTGCTCCATGGAATGCCCCTTTTCCTCTGTCGTTTCCGCGGCAATGGCTGACTCAAGTCGGTGCAGGCCCAGGCACACTCAGCAGGATTGAGCATACCTTGCCCACAGGATTTCGTGTGAATGGCCCGATCGAAGCGTCAAAAGCATGCTGGTAATGGACTTGAAGTCAAGACTACCAGTTCAGATGTTTGCATCACAATGTTGAGGTCATCGTATCACCAGCAGCATGCTAAACATGATCAATGATGAGGACGTTCGGAACCGGGGATGTCCAGCCAGGAGAGGTCGGGTCTACTGCCAGGAGAGGTCGGGTCTACTCCCGGTCGAACACCCTTGGCTTGGTTTGTTTGAACCTCGGTTCGTTGATCAACTTTCCTGCCACTGACTGGAAGTCCCAGCTTTCTTGAAACGAAGCCACCTGGGCAATCCTGGGCATCCGACTGGGTCCATGCCGCTGCATGAAGCGGAGGCTGCTGAAGATGCATAGCCATGTGTTGCGGTCTTGACCCTATGCTATTGAAAGCCACGGGGATCTTCAAGAAATCATGTTCTTCCGCAAGGTCAACCCACCAACGCCCACAAACAAACGGCCTTCCCAAAGATGCCGGACCAAAAAAGAAATCGATCTGTTCCAGAAAGGACACGTACCCTCCCACCATCATTATATGATGATACTGGGCGTTTTCGCTCACAAGATGCACCTTCAAGGGGTGTCCTGTCTGGAGAGTAGTGGGCTGGGGCTTCCAGCTAGGTGACCTCATAAATCCCCATGTCGGAAGCTGCTGGTCACTGATTCTTGTATGACTTCTGGCCCCTCCGGGCCATTCTGAGCCATGCGTTCCCCTCCCCCATGGCGCGCAGCAGCCTGCGTGGCGCTGCTCGTGTGGGGCGCCCTGCGGCCGTGCCTCGTGTCGCTGCCGTGGTGGAGGAGATCGAGGTCTTCGGGCGGTCGAAGACTTGCCGCCAGGGCAGGCGGGAGCGGGAACGATATATATATATATATATATTGAGTCCGGCCACCCCCCTGTAACTCTGCAAAAAGGTTTCTTTATTAAGACAACCAGCGAAAATTAGCACCAGGAAATCCTAGATAATTCATCGTTACCTGGGGCCTCTCCAAATGGATTTTGAATATGCTAACCCCTCCACTCCTCTCCTGCCCCTCCTGCCCTTTCTTCCCCTTCTTCCCTCCACTCTCTTCTCCTTTCCTCTCCTCTCCTCTCCTCCTCTCCTCCTCTCCTCTCCTCTGTTCTCCTTCCCTCCTCTGCCCTCTCCACCACCACCAGCACCAGCACCACACCAGCACCAGCACCACAGCAGCCATCACCACCACCACCACCACCAGCACCCCCAGCACCAAACAGCAGCCCCAGCAGCGGCCACCACCACCAGCCCCAGCAGCCGCCACCAGCAGCAGCAGCAGCAGCAGCAGCAGCGCCACCAGCACCACCAGCACCAGCGCCAACAACCCAGCACCCAGCCCCAGCCCCAGCCAGCCCCAGCCAGCCGCAGCACCAGACCAACACCAGCCCCAGCCGCCACAGTCTACATGTTCATTGCTGGATTTGACATATCTATATAAGTGAAATATTTTCATGTGACAATCTAGCACACCAATCACTAGAAGCAACGGTTCGAAAAGACCGGCCGCGGAACAGAAGTGGAGGTCACGATTCCAACCTCCTGTTGCTTGCAGGTTAGACAGAGGCCAAGACGAAACCAAATCTTCCCTAAACCCTAACAGCTGCTTGGCCGACGAAATGGGCCACCAGATTTGACGACATTTAGCACCAGAAAAAGCACAATTGGAAGCACAAAAACAGGCACCAGATTTGACGAAATTTAGTACCAGAAAAAGCACAATTGGAAACACAAAAAAAGAGCACCAGATTTGACGAAATTTAGCACCGGAAAAAGCACCAGGAAAGCGCCAGAAACTGCACAGGCGGCCACGACAAAGTCAAACGCTGCTGAGGCCAAGTGCTCCGAGCGATCTGCTTTTGGCTCGCAGGTTCATTCTGGACGCGCGAAATTTAGCACCAGATTTGACGAAATTTAGCACCAGAAAAAGCACAACTGGAAGCACAAAAAAGCACCAGATTCGACAAAATTTAGCACCAGATTTGACGAAATTTAGCACCAGAAAAAGCACAACTGGAAACACCAAAAACAGCACCAGATTTGACAAAATTTAGCACCAGATTTGACGAAATTAAACACCAGATTTGACGAAATTTAGCACCAGAAAAAGCACAACTGGAAGCACAAAAAATAGCACCAGATTTGACAAAATTTAGCACCAGATTTGACGAAATTTACCACCAGAAAAAGCACAACTGGATGCACAAAATTTAGCACCAGGTTTGACGAAATTTAGCACCAGATTTGACGAAATTTAGCACCAGATTTCACGAAATTTAGCACCAGCTTTGACGAAATTTAGCACCAGATTTGACGAAATTTAGCACCAAAAAAAGCACAACTGGGAGCACAAAAAATAGCACCAGATTTGACGAAATCTAGCACAAGAAAAAACACAAGGGAAAGGCTAGAAACGCAAGCGTTGCCAGGACCCAGCCGCCAGAGCCGTGCCCCGGTTCGGCGCCCCGGTCCCCAGGGCCCAGCCCCACGAAAGCCGTTACAGGGAAGGCCGAGCCCCGGTTCCGCGCGCCGGCTCGCAGGGTCCAGCCCCATGAAAGCAGTTAAAGGAAAAGCGGCCCGCCCAATTCCAGAGGACCCAGCCTCACGAAAGCATTTGAAGGAAGAACCCAGCCCCAATTCTCACAGGGCCCCCACGAAAACATTTAAAAGGAAAAAATGAGCCCACAGGACCAGCCCCACGAAAGCATTTAAAGGCAAACCGGCGTTCCAATTCCCACAGGACCCGGCTCACGAAAGCGCTCGCAGGAAAAGCAGCGCCCCCGTTTCCAATGGCCAGCCCCACAAAAGCATTTGAAAAGGAAAAGCTGTCGGCTTGCCCACAGGACCCAGCCCCACGAAAGCATTTAAAGGCAAAGCGGCGCCCCCGTCCGCACAGGACCCGGCCCCACGAAAGCATTTGCAGGGAATAGCGCCGCCCCGGATGCGCCCCAATTCCCACAGGACCCGGCGCCACGAAAGCATTTACAGGGAATAGCAGCACCCGGTTGCCCGGGCCGCCCCACGAAATCATTTTAAAAGAAAAACCGTCGTATTGCCCACACAACCCAGCCCCACGAAAGCATTTAAAGACAAAGCACGTCCCAATTCCCACAGGACCGAAACAACTACTACTATAGACTAACACCACTTGACCTATTTAATGCTACTTGAGGTATATCTTTTTTCACAACCTACTGATGTGTTGCTTGATGGAAGGGTTTTGTGACTTCCCATGGCTTCACCGGGCAGGAGGGCCCATAGATGAGAGTGAAAAAAGGAGTTCCTGTGGTGAGAGTGCCATCCAATTGGATCTAAAGGTTTTTTAAAGCATTTTTCTGGTGCTAATTTTTGTGCATCCAGTTGTGGTCTCTGTTACAGCGCCGCGGCCATGCACAATATATATAGACGTTTTCAATGTGGAACTCCGATGTTGGTGAGGAGTATCTATGACATGCCGCCTCGCGTGGCACAGAGGATAGCCTTTGAAAAGCAGTTGAAACTTGTGGAAGCTGTTAAAATATACAGGTGGTCAGCACGGTGACATGACTCAATCCGTGCTTTGCCCCCAAACGCATTGGACAGAGAAAGTCTAGGATGTCTCGGTGCAGGTCCCCGATGCTTTGCCAGCTTCTGCGAGCGGCATAGTGGACGTGTTTGCGGTCTTTTGGATTGAAGTATCGAGCTCTAAGATCATCACCCACCAACGGAGGTTGAAGAAACCATCATAGAAGTCCTTATGTTCGACTATCCCCAGTTCGGTACCCCAGTTGATGGGTCCTTTTTTTAGGTCACTTAACCTTTGTTGGTGGGGTGTGGAGAAGACCTTTTTAACGGCGTGCTTTGGCGTTTCTACGACGTGGGCAGGTGGAGAGGACTGGGGCCGACCGACCTCCAACCCTGTGCAGGCGAAGGGCTAGTGGAAGTGGATGCTTCAAGCTTGGCCTTGTGGCTCCTGGAGCATGGGGCGCAGGCTCGGGAGCCACACCTGGACCTCAGTAGTCACAGTTGGCTTCTCATGAGTCGATGAACCTTTGACTTCTGTGCGACTCGGGGGTCGCCATGAGGCTGGCTGGATCCGGGGACTCGCTCTTGGCCCCGGCTCCTTCCCACACCTTCCCACTCGCGTCGCACCCGTCCGGACGTCCGGATCCGTTCGACCCTTCAACGTCCCACCGGGTCGTTGGAGGTGGACTCCAAGGATGGAGCCCACCGAAGCAAGCACTCCGAATAGGTCGTTCAGCTCAACAAGGGGCTTCACAACCTGACTCGGCCCAGTTCTGGGTGAGTCCCCAGAACTGGTGGTGATGTGTGTTTGTTTTCTACATGTTGTCCCGGCTTTTCCCGCTTCCTTCCAGCAAAGCCAGGACAAACATATGATTGCGCCAAGCATTCTTTTTTTTCCGAACCAATGCAATTTTGCAAATTATATATATAATAATAGTTAACCATTAAACACAGGTTGCGAGCTCGCAAAATCACCCCAGAGTTCTCCCAGAGTTCCAGTGATGCTCCGCCAGGTCCACCCTTCCGCGCGCTTGGCCTTCGCGGCCCGGGGCGGCCGGGGAATCTGGAGCTTGGGCGCCTTGGAGAAGGGCGCGGAGGTGGCGCGGATCCCTTGGAAGCTCCTGCTCACCCAGGCGAGCGTGTGGAGATCTGGGAGATCTGGGAGAGGGAAGCTGTTTGAGAACAGCTGCTGCACTTGATTTCAACCGTGGCCGGTGGTGTGGTGGTTGTGGCAGTTTCACTCGACCAGAGACTGGGTAGGGAGAAGGTGCGACTGTGGACAGAGCGTCCTGCGACCGTGTGCTGGACTACCTTGAGGGGGATCGGGGGAGCTCGCATGACCGAGGGCGGTTTGCTCATGCTAGCTCTGCCAGTGAAGAAGGGATGAATGAGGTCAAGGACCATGATCATAGGGACATGCGCACAGTGCGTTTGCCCCGGTTTTGCGCCCATAGATGGGACCATTGCGAGACACCGGCAATCCTGCGAGACATGACATGGACAGGATGGCTTGTAAAACCACCGCGGGTCAGGTGTTCTTGCCGTGGGTCTTGGGTTTGGCGAGGCCTCCGCCAAAAAGGCGCTGGGCGAAGAAGTGGTATCCCAACTGCAGGAGTATCCTTGTATAGCGCTACAGCTGATCCATGAGAGCTTTGGTTTGCAGATGTTCTGGAGCGCGGCCTGTAAAGATTGTTTGCGAGTCACGACGAACCGCACGTGAGGGCTTTTACTTGCCCATTTATGTCCAATCCGAGAGCAAGGCCATTGTTCGGCCTCCTTCATTTCATTTTGTGGACTTGTGCTTAATAGTCTATAAATTAAGAAATGAACATACAGTAATTAAATATACTAGGACCCACAAGGGGTGGTTAATGGACGCCCCTTAACCTCTAAGGGGCTATCAATGTACACCCCTTAGGGTGTCTTATATATTACTGTACACATTTTTACAGTAAACCATTATATTTCAGGGAGCTTCGTTTCTCACACGAATTATCGGCCAAAAAGCGCAGCTTTTCCCTACTAACCAGACAATATGGGGCCAAATGAACTTGTATCACCCATTTCAAGATGTCGACTATCTTAAGTTATACTGTAAGTCCGTTCAATTGTTCTTTGATAGCCACCTGTGTAGACCTTTCATGAGTCTTCCACTTTTCTTTGAGGGGTTGGAAACGGACTTGTTTGAGCTGAAACTCTTCAAAATTCCAGACATGCTTCGACCTGAAGTCAGGGAGAGAATTTTAAGTATATTTAGTCAATTAAGATCATTAGGACTCCTCGTTTCAACAGAATGGATCCCGACCAATACAGAATTCATCAGGTTCTCTACGTTTTGAGACAAACTCGCACCTCCGGTCGAACTGTAACTGGCGACAGAGCCATGAATTCACTCGACGGGCAGAGCCGAGCCCTGCGAGCCAGGAAATACATGCTGTCTTCGAAGTCCTTTTGGCATGCTTATCTGGAGATGCTGCCCTCGATGGAGGAGATTGGGGCATCTTTTACCTGGCCGGAGGAGGACTTAAAGCTACTGGACGGAAGCCTGATCAAGAATATGTCGCGCATCCTGGCCTTACAGTAGTGGCGGGGTCTTGGTGGATGGCCACAAGAATCCTAAAGAAGTAAGCATTTGAGCGAGGCTTGAAGTTGTTAAAGCCTTAGCGTGTGATTGCAACTGGCTGATTGGGAGGGGCTCTCAGCTTTGATGCTCTTTACAGAAACTCAAAATCAGGCAACATCCAACAGAGGTTGAAGAACCCTATAGACTATCCCATAGGTACTCCAGTAGGGTCCTAGTTCAGGTCACTTAACCTTTGTTGGATGTAGAAGATTAGTTGGTGGTGCCAATCAACACCTCAGAGAAGCGGTTGGAATCACTGGACACCTATTGTTGTGGGGTTGTGGGTTCAACCATTGCATTGCTTGCTTGCTTGCTTGCTTGCTTGCTTGCTTGCTTGCTTGCTTGCTGCCTAAGTCAAAAGCTCAACACAGGGATAACACTTTTTCCTTTTAGGATCTGTTAGATCCTAATCAGGTTTGGTTTTGGTAGTGGTCTGAAGCTTTGTGCGTGGTTCTGCAAGGATTCCTGCGTGAGAAGATCGAAGAGGAGTACCTCAACATTGCCAAGAACATTTTTCCATCCCGCCAGGAGCGGTTCCCAGCGGAGGTCTTCACCAAGGAGCGCTTCCTTTGGGCTTACGCCGTGCTGTTAAGCCGATCCTTTCGCTTGCGCGTCTTGGGCGAACGACGGCGGCGAGCCTGGTGGGTTGGAGGGGGGCATCATACCCACGAGAATAAGGAGGAACATAGGACTGCCAGTTTGGACTGCCGCCCCAGACAGACCCCTCTGGCACTACCCCAACTGATCGGTCAATATGACAGTCCCAGACAGGTCGTGTTTGGGCAGGTATCCTAGCGGTTTGTTCATTTCTAAGCGCACATCCTGGTCAGATCCAGCCCATCACCCTTCACCCTTAGACTAAAGGACACACTTGGCCCTGTGGACCAGAGCCCCCCAAAAACTGGCCCCTGATTGGCTGGGTCTTCCGATGTTACCTCGGAGAGGTGTCCAGGCCTCGAAGGTCTCTTCCTGACCCAGCCAGTATTTGTTGAAGACATGACATGGTGTCGTTGAAGACATGGAGTTTGTTGAAGTTGTTGAGATGGTCTCAATGACCATTTCTTGGAGTCGTGCAACAGACATGGGACGTTTGGTCCATCGCGCCAACCTGCTGGTCGCCAACCTGCTGAGGCTTCGGGAATGATGAGGTCATTGCTTTAGTTCCCTTCATCGATTTCATGAACCACGACCCTGACTCCAAAGCGTATGTTGCTCGGTAGAGAGATGGTGCCCAAGCGGGAGCAGTCGGAGCCGTAAAAGTGGTGATTTTGGGCAGTTTGATGGTCTATTTCATCTTCATGGCCTAGTTTGGAACTTATAGTCTTATAGAGTCAGAACCATCACATATAAGTCCTCCGTGCATGGTCCTCTATACAATGCCGATCATTTGACCCCAGGTGCTTGCTACACCGCGGAGGGCCTTTGCCACCGCCTCACAGGGCCCCGTATCTTTGGTCCCTCCCTTGTTGGCCACCGTGTTTCTCACTGAGCATTTCATACACATCTGATCCACTGCCCCTGCTTCACTTCATTTTTACTGCATTCCAATATCCTTCAGACTTCCCCCGTGGACTGGCAAAGCTTTTCATAATATCAGGGTTTCGTCCTCACCAGTCTACATGCCACAAGTTCGAACAGAGCATCGCGACGCTTCGTGCCTTCTGGGCACAAACGGTGCGAACACTCTAGACTCTAGGGCGGACATGACACTGTTGGGCGCAACCAACCAGTCGCCCTAGGAAGATGTCCTGCCTCCTACCACTACCATCACTACACCGTCACCGCCATCATTGCCAACATAACCACCATCGCCATCATCACCACCACCTTTCTCTGGAAATCATTGCGTCTAGATCTTTAGGCCTTCTGCGTCAAGAACTTAGGTCACACTGTTTGGGGTCTTTTGCTGGAATATATTTTCTGTGTAATTCTGCTGTCTCTGTTTTCCATTCATTTTCCTTCCTGAGTTTGTGGTTCCAAAATCCCTGACCTTTTTCCTATAGTCTTTTTTTTTTGGGGGGGAAATCTTCATGTAATTATATTTTTCATGTACTGTATAGTTGGATGTTTCCTTGCCAGTATTGACGTCATTGAATGGAAATATCATCATATTTTTCCTTTGTAATAATGATGGAGTAATTCCAACAAAGTGTGTCATTAGTTTATCATATTAATTCGATATACGTTAAGATTTGTTTAAGTTGTTATCGAATGTTTTGTTTTTTTGGACTGTTAATTTTATTTGTAAACAAGGTTGCCAAGAAATCCAAGAATAAACAACTGGACTTGAGGGTAGCCAATAAAATCCTTACAGATGAAAGCATTTGCCATGAGAGGTAAGTAATTAATATGGCCGTTTCTTGAGCCAGTGGATGTCAGGTTTTCCGTTGTTCCTTCTATACCCATCCGGGGCGCTGACCTTGCCATCTTTTGGGCGCTGACCCTGCTCCACCCCGCCCCCACCCCCCGAGGTCTCCGGGTCTGCGTCCTTGCCGACTTCGCTCGACGGATCGCGCCTGGTGCTCTTGAAGACGGATCGGCCTTACGGAGCGACCCGGGGGATCCGAACGGGGCGCCTTCTTGGAGAACCGAAGCATGGCGGGGAACCCGTGGCGGTGGGTCGAAACCAGCCGGGTTGGGGCTGGTACTTGGCTCGCTAGTACAAGTCTATTCGCTTTATTTTCGGTGGTCAACGTGGGTTCCCTGCTTTTAACCCACAGCCGCATTGGAATCACTTTCAGGAGGCCCTAACATTTGAAGACCTTTGCTTTCCAACTGCCGAAGCGCGGATATGATACGGAACATATGGACCACAGAGTGGACCGCAGATATGACCTGCATAAGACCATACCTGGTGATTCTAGGATATTCTAGGATCATACCTGCCTAAGACCACGTTGTTTGGGCAAGGACGGTCGCGCAAAATCAATCAGTGCGCCTCACGGCTGACGCATCCCACACTCACTGAGGCATAGGTCCCTAGGTCTGTTGGAGACGACACCTCTCACAATTAAGGTGTGCTAAAGGTCTTTTTCATAAACAGAGGGTTCAGAGGATGTGTTTGTTGTTTTTCTTCTCGTGACGATAGAAGAAGGTGACTATAGTGTTCATGATTCAATACAGGCGTGATTGCAAAGACGTAGTTCTCCCAAAGACCGTCAAGGACCCACATTGAAGCTGGTAGTCATGCTGGCCGGGTGCCACGGCTGTTCGGAGAGTTGGAGCCCTGACACGTTGACCCGGTCGACCGATGGAGCGAAAGCACCGCGAGGAGCTCAGGAGCAAATCTTCGACTCCTATGGACGACGCTCGAACGATGAGCTGCTGTTGCTTTATGGCTTCTCCTTGCCCCAGAACATCCACAACTTCGTGGAGCTGCTTGGCCAAGGAGAAGAAGTCGTTCATTTTTTTGCTCGTTTTGTGTGGAAGTGGTTTCCTGGGAAATGACATCAAGTCCGAAGGGACATCGAATGTAGACTCGAACGATGAATACAACTTACTTCCCCCAAATGGATTATGGGGGGGGTGCATAAAATCAAGAGTCAGTCCATATATATATATATATATATCAGGAGTGGAAATCTGTAAAGCCAAAGTGGCAGGTGCAAGATCATGTAATGACGTGCTTGACTCCACGGGTTCGATTGTAGATGTTTGGTTGCATGGGGTGGACAGCAAATCTCAGGCTGAAGGATCATGTCCAAGACCCAACTGTTGAACTGTTGTTTGTTCCAATGAGGTTCCACTGTTTGCTGCTTTTGCCCTGAGGATTTCACTGCTGGAGTTGTGGGCTCAAACTGACTTGGCGCCTTCCAAGAAGAAGTGGCTCAGCCTACAGGGCCTCCTGGTTATGATGAGTGGGCTTTCGAGTCGATGCTTTTCTTGGTCCACGTCCCCTTCGCAAGACGCCCTTTTTGTCGACCGACCGGTGGATCTTGTTTGGGGCCTTTTGGATTGGTGATTGGCTCTCAGGCGTCGATGTGGATGAGATGCAAAGCCTTTGTCTTCCCAGAGGCTACTGGCCACGCGAAACTATGCTGCTGATGCGGCTGCTGGTCTTGTCTGCCCGGGACGTGAGCTCCGAGGGCCTCAAGGCCTTCAGCGATTTGGGACTCGACAAGGCTGCGGTGGGGGGTCGGGTTCTGGGGGCCACCAGAGGTCGTGTACTTTAAGGTATATATTGGGAGAAGCACTGGTCGATTTCTTAAGCCGCACCCAGGGGGCGGTTTATATAAGCCTCGCGGGTAGACGCAGTACCCCGTCTTTTTTTCCAAGGGTTATAAAAAACTTTCATTGGAAAGAACCTGTTTTCAAAATTTAAAAAAAAAGTCAAAAAAAGTCAAAAAAAAGTCAATCCCAAAAGTCAAAGTCAAAAAAAAGTCAAATTGAAAAGTCAAAAAAAAGTCAAAAAAAAAGTCAAAAAAAGTCAACAAAAATCAACAGTCAACAAAAAGTCAAAAAACAAGTCAAACAAAAACTTTGCATAGGTAAACAAGTCAAGGAAAAGCTTGTAACAATGCAAATTGCAGCCTTTTTGCTTATGGCTTATGGCTTTCAGTCTATTAAAGATTCTAGAACCTTTTTGGTTGTTCAACTTTCACCTTTTCCAGCCCCAAGCCAGCCCCAACCCCCTACCCCAGAGTCGCAGGATCCCTACCCAGCCCCAGCCACTGTCCCAGGGTCTCTTCAGCCCCAAGCCAGCTGCTGCTCAAATTTTGGGGCAGGTTGCTGCCAGGGCCAGGCGTTGGGCTGGCTGCGGCTGGCTCCTGGCGGAGGGGTCAGGTTGAGGTCGAGCTCAGGCAGGCTACAGGCGGGCTGGGGCATGCGGGGCTGGGCCGGCAAAAAAAAGTCAAAAAAAAGTCAAAAAAAAGTCAAATGTGCGGATCCTAGCCTTGGCGGATTACTGGAGGCAACAAAAAGTCAAAAAAAAGTCAAAAAAAAGTCGAAAAAAGGTCGAAAAAAAGTCAATTCTGCTCGCGACTCTGGGGCCGGACAGGGCTGGGTACTTGGGACTCTGGGGTGGCTACCAGGGCCACCAGGGACAGGGCTGGCTTGGGGCTGAAGAGACCCTGGGACAGTGGCTGGGGCTGGGTAGGGGTCCTGCGACTCTGGGGTAGGGGGTTGGGGCTGGAAAAGGTGAAAGTTGAACAACCAAAAAGGTTCTAGAATTTTTAATAGACTGAAAGCCATAAGCCATAAGCAAAAAGGCTGCAACTTGCCTTGGCTGACTTATGAGCTTGTTACTAGTTTAGTTCAATGTTGTTGTCCTCTTTGCCTGTGTTTCCATATATATATATATATATGCCGACTTTCTTTTGCTCCTGAGTCGCTTGACTGGACATTTTTGTTTCTTTTTTTATTTTTGTTTTTTTTTGATTTTTTTGTCTTTTTTTTTGACTTTTTTTGACTTTTTTTTTAAATCAAGGATTCTGGCCTTACCATATGAAAGTTTTTTATAATCCAAGGGGGGGTGCCATGCGATCTTATGATCTTCCAATGTAAGCCAAGCAGGGCTGGCGGGTAGTAATGGTGGCAAGAGGAGCATCGAGCAGAGGCTTCTTGGATGAAAAAGAGTCTTGAACTTCCTAGCACCACGGAAAGGATAGTATTTATAGACATCCCGCCTGATATCAAATATCCTTTGACTAGTCATTTGACTATGCATTTTCCTTCCAAAAATCCCTAGGCCTGTGGTGCTGAGCATCCTTCCGGTCTGTTCCCCAAGGCCGCCACCGCCACTGGGAACCGCCACCGAGGCCTTTGACCCTTCAGTGGAGCGGAAGGCGCTCCAAGCGCTGAAAGGCTCCGGGCTGGGTCGCGTGCGCCAGAACTCTTGCCTCAAATCCATAAGATCACATGCACGAGACTAGTAGTAGATGAGACTACTGGACTCCTCTTGGTTGTTCAACTTCCGAAGTATCAACTGCCACTTTGTGATTTGAACATGCCGTGGAACCATTGGAAGCAAACGGGGTTTCTTTCGCATCTCATGTCTTTTTTCCCAAGGGTTGTTGTTCGGACCACACACACTTGTTGGTGTCTTTGCCGTTGCTTCCCCTCCCATCTCCAGGCCTTTGCACGGAGCTCCTGGCCGGCTGCCCCGCCGCGCAGCGCCGCGCGGACGCGGAAGCGCGGGCGGCGATCGAGGCGGAGCCGAGTGGTCTGGGGCCGAAGGAGTGCGGAAAGGGCGCCGATTGGGCCGGGAGTGGGCCTGCCCCAGGCGGGAGCGTCGTAAGGGGGGAGCATTTTGTGGAGTTGAGTGGGGAGGATCAACGGTCTACAACTTGCCAGAAAGGGATTCTCTTATATTTCCCAGACACTCCATGTGCGGAATATATATATGTATATATATTGCTCCCCACCGAAACCAGCCCATTGTCGACAAATGTGACACACATGGAGTGGCTGGGTGTATGTATATACTGCAATATGCTGTGTATATATATATATATATTTATCTATATATATATATATTATGTGTATATATGTAAAGATATAGATATATGTTTTGTTGCTTTATTAATCTAAATCAAACATACCTATACCGATCAGATCAGGTGATTGAATGTTTGCCCGGAAAGCTCAGCACCTCTCTTTGTTGCACACATCAACATGGGGCCAGTTGCTCAGAGAATGTCCCCAGCTCTTCACAAATACATGGTCGGTTCATTTAGGAGCAATGTAATGTAGACTCTTGATTATATATATATATATTTATTTATTTATATGTCACCCCGCTATGAAGAGGTTGTACAATCCAAATGCTTTAGTTGATCATTATAAAACAAGAGTTTGCATCAGGGTCATTCATTGAACCTGTTTTCCACCCATCTTCCTTTCCAACCTTCCTCGCCTTTGCCACACCAAGTTACGTGGCCCTTCCGCGTTCCGGGTTGGACGCGAACTGGACACGGCGTCGTTCCGTGGGCGGCTCCAGGAGCGGTATGCCATTTGGACACGGTCTGGCGAGGTGACGGTGCTGGAGACCAACCTCCGGCGCATCGACCGGTTGATCGAGCAGATCCCCTTCGTGGCCTGGTTGATATGCCCCAGGTATGTGGTAAGCTGTGGAGACCAAAATGGTATACCCTCCCTGGAACTCACATGGAACTGGAATTCGCCCCCTGTTTGTCGAAATTGTATTTCCAGAGGCCATGTTCCACGATCCATGTTAGTTCCAGGGAGGGTTGATGAATATGACACCTCCAGCCTGGATGTCCGTTCAATAAATCACAAATCAGCTTGCAAGATTAGGGATGTGTCCGGTTGTCGAGCAGTTGAGTCTACAAATTGGTTTGTTGTATGCACGAGGTTTCTACCGGACAATTCATGGTCAATACCTTTAAACTTTGGGCAAGGTCATGCAAGGTCTATATATATATACATAGAATAGATATGAATATACTTTTCCTGTGCGTCTTGCTGATGAAGCCCACCCTTTCGAAGTACTTGGTCGCGCGTTTTAGCTGCCTTGCACACATCGTCGTGAATCCACCCGGTCTGTGACGGGGGCATCGTGGGTCCAAACGGAGGGAAGAAGGCGTTAAGTGATCACCACTCCCTACTGCCCCAGTATCTCTGCAAGAATCAAGGCGGACCTGGTATAACGCAAGCTACATGTTCCCCCAAAACGGGCAAGTGGCCACGGCGCGTATTGTTCAGCAGCCTCAAACGCACAGTTAGACCACCCAGGACTTGGATTGATGTCCTACCCAGGAAGTCTGTGGAGAACCTGCTAACACCGTGGTTTGCCAACACAAATACCAACAGGTGGAAGGGACATTTGGCTGAGAACATGTGTCAGGCAGGATGACGTAGGAGGCGTGGACGTTCTGCCAGTACATAGCTCAAAATAGCTCAATTATGCTCAAATATTTTTCACATAAACATAGAATAGAATAGTGTGCCCAAGCAGAACATATATGACTGATGGCTGATGAAAGCTGGATTCGGAAAACTAGGTGCTTGCTCTTTGGATTTTGACCAATCGCTTTCCTATCTCATCCCCTTCCTCTGCGCCCCAGATGCAGAGGATCACCTGCTCACCAGATGAACCCGGAACCAAGCGGTCCGCTTCGTGGCTAACCCTGCAGCCTTTAAGACCATGGCTGGTCTAAAAGGATCTGTAAGGCCTACTGTAAGAGGTCTAAAAGGTCTACAAGACAAAGATGTCCAAAGGTCTAAAGTCTAAAGGAACAAATGCAATAACAGATTGAAAGAAAACACAGCCAGGGTGCTTGGTGATATTTTTTCTAAGCATGGCCCGAGTATGGCCGGGTGCCTGAGGTGCCTAGCTTTCTGAGCTAAGCGACCTCGACCCTTTGAAGTGCGATGATTTCGACTTGCACTGGGTGAGATCAATCCGCACCTTCAAACAATCCGGTCTTAGCTCCCCAGAGAGGTTGAACCGCCTTATAGTCCATCCCATTGTCCATATTTATCATTATTTATCACTACAGGGGTCCTAGTTCCGGTCTCTCAACCTCTTAGCTCAGGTCTTTGAGCTGCAAGAGGCCCGGAGGCGCCTGGCCTTTCCAGGGCTCACCTCGGAGACGAAGCCCAAGGACTTCGACATCTTTTTCCAGGACGGGTCCCGGACATCAAATGTAGAGTCTTGAGGAATAAATCCTCCGAAGTGGACGTCCATTTTGTATCGGGGGTTGTTGATCAAGAGTCTACATTAAGTTCAGTGTGGTTTTTCATGGTTCTGAAGCCGACCTTGGTGTTTTCCCCTTGAAATCCTGAAGAATCTTGATGTTTCAGGATGTTTCTAACGGTAGCGCTTGCGTGCCAGCGCTTGGTGTGTTCCACTCGTTGCACCTGAAAACGCCATGAGTCACACTGGAGATCGGTGGCACGGTGGCACCGTCTGAATACCGTCTGATACGACCCTGACGAGGAACACCTGTTGTGGCATTGTTTCTATACCACGCCGGGGGTTTTGCGTTTTTTGTTTTGCATCGTTGCGTTCAGATGCGACCAGTGGCGTGTGTTTGGAATGGTGCCGTGCAAGCATTGCACTGTAGAGGGGCGGTAATATAGGATATCGAGATCGGCGATAGAGTAGAAACTGTGGTCAGCTCAGCAAGATGCCAAAGCCGGCCCACGTCATGTGGACGTCCCCAGCTGCGGCGACTCTGTACGAACCACACGCTCGACTGCGTGGACGATTCCGAGTGAGTGACACTCGACTGCGACGACTTGAGGAGTTCGCTTTGGATGACTAGGGCGGCAGATCCTCCGACGTGGTGGTGACAGTGGTGCCTTGGGCGGCCTTGGTGACAGGGCTTGATGGCTGGAGACTGGTCTCGGGACATGGCACAGACATTTGCGAGTGTTCAGTGTGTGATGGTCTAGACATTCCTGAAGCTAGAGCTTGGGTGGGTCAAGGATGCAGGATCAGATCTATGAATCCACGAATAATCACCAGCCGCCTATTCATGGCCATGCTTCCCTAGCCCCAGCCGCTGTAGCCTTGGTTGAGTTACAGGCTGTTGTTGGATTCTGGATCCATCTTCTGCAGAGCCGATGTGTGAAGAGCCCAGTAGCAGATTCATTGCCTCCATATATAGCACAGCTGGTCCACACTGGCTTGTAGGCCAGTCATGAGGACTAGACTAAGGGCATCGCTCCTAGCCTATGGCAAATCTCATGGAGATAGACAGGGAGAGAGGGACCTGCACCACGGAAAGGTGTATATATATGTTTATAGTATACAAAGACACTCCTGACTGTGCATTTTCCTTCCTATCACCACCCGAACTGGGTGGTGCCAGCAAAAAATTGCCTCGTGTTGTCGTGTTGTCGGTTCATTTCGGGACACAGGGCAACCCCACAAAAAGTCCTTTTGCATGAGCCACTGTCCTTGCACCATCTCCCGTTTTGCCACCTCCAGGCTCCCGGTTGGCCACACCGGGCCGTGAAAATCACGGAGGGTTTTTCGCCACCGGGCAGTGACGCTCCGGGCCGTTCGTTTGTTCAGCGTGCTGTCTCACTGCCGTCCAAAACACGTTGAAGCGGTCAAAAGGCAGCGAGGGAGGAACAGGATAGAGCTTTAGCTATAGCTTTAGCTTGATGGGCACCTCACAAAGCGTCACACAACTCACATGATGGCTCATCCCATCTCATCCAGGATCCCAACACGTCAACGAAGACCATGAAGGCCTCTACTAACTCTACTAGAAGCAACCAACCTTCAAGTAAACCTCTTAGGAGGTTCCCAGTCGGTAGACCCCAACTCCCACTGACCATGTTTATGTTCAAAGTTTCTTGCCTTGGTGCCATGCGTTGGAGTATGGGTGGAGTCGTGGCGAACGTACCCCAGATGAGTACCACTCGCGTCCTACTCGGAAAGGAAGGCCTCTTGCTCGAACCCGAAAATATCAACAGAATCCTCATGTTGCTTTTCATTTGATGCGGCCACGCAGGTTTCTTCGTTTCTTCCCACCCACGATTGTCATAGGTCACACATGCTCGCCCCAAGACCGTCAGTGAACCCCGAGACTCAGGGGTTAAGCCTTTCTGCAAGTGCAAGCGGGAAGCTCCAGTGCTTTCAGACATCATAGCGGGGCGGGGTCTTTGTAACTCAGGCTCTAAGATTTGTGGAACTGAGTTTCCCAAAGACCAGATGGCGATGTTTAAGCTCAGTGTCTTATGAGGTTGATTGATGGAACTCATGTCATATAATGTCATGACATGTGATCCCCAAGATCAAATCCTGGCCCTAAGACGACTCGAAACGACGGTAGCACACTTGACTGACATGGAAGCCTTTGTGATGTTGTTGGCACAAAAAAGCTCGGATCCGCGCCCATTGGATCACCCAAACCCGATGTTCCAATCCAACCCGTCCTCCATGCTCTGCCGACCTGGAATAGATCCACGGCCTGATCTCGGCAGGCCATGGAGAAGCTGGGCCATGCGGCACGCCACCGGGGGCAGCACATCTTGGCCAAAAGCTCCCGCCACCGCGGCCGCCGGGGCGCCCACTGATCGCGGGGCGGGGGGCATCGCAGCCGAAAGACTTGAAAGACGTGGTTTGTTCGAAGGTTTCGCAAAGAGATCGAATCCGACATGTGTACCCTAGGCTTCCAACAACCATGGTTTTTGCTAAGGATTTTACCCCATGCAACCAGGTCTTGGAAGCCTAGGGTGTAGTTTGTCTTTTGGGGAAGACGCTTTAGCAACGGTCCTTCGGAGCAGTCGGTGGTTGGAGGGGGATTGAAGACTGGAAGAGCTCGGAGGGAACTTTGAAGGCCACCCGGCGGAAGAAGGGATGGTGTTTCTAATGTTATCAGCGTAGTGGATGTCAATTTTCTAAGATGTTTCAACAAGCCCAGCCTCGTGATAGAAAAAACTGTGTGTTCTGGCCCCTCCCTTTGCAGAGTTAGACCCGGTGATCCTTCATATGCATATCTAATTTGCTTCCTGGATGGGTAAGCATCACTCCCTGATGGTGACCTTTGTGCCCTGACGGGGGCTTGGGTGCTTCCAGCAGTTGAACCCACCCCATTGGTTTGGCGTGGTTTGGCTACATCAAGTTATGACCCGAGGCAAAACTCTGATCCGCCACGACTGCATCCCCGGGCGTCAGCCGTGCCTTGCTGCGTGGAAAGGGGAAGGACGAACAGCGGTGGGGATCAAAGCTCTGGGGTAGTGACGTGCTTCACGAGGAAGTTACTTTTCTAAAACCAACTAGTGTTCTTTCTTCCGGAGTAATTGTATATAGACAGTTAAATACATGTTTCAGGACCTCAGGAGATAATTTTGTGTGTATATATTTGGGCTTTGCCGATTTTTGCTACATCTATTTGGATCAGCCGCAGATGAATTTGGGGTTCTCCATGTTGCATGGCCTGTGTCGCGCATTTCAAGCACTGTATCACCCGCTGTTGAAGCGCTATTGGGGGAGGAATTTCGACTGCTTGAGGTGACATCTTTCTAAGGGAAGAGCGAGTTTTCACATAGGAACCTTCAAGAGTAACGACTTTTTGTGCTGGTGGCACCTGGGAGTGTATGTGACATGTTGTGATAGTTACATGGTGTTTAACATGTTGTGGGTGCTTATGCTGGTTTTGCTTAAGGTGTTTTTCTTAATGTGTATTTTCCCTATGGTTAAATCATAAATCATGTTCAATCCCCTTCTGGGGAATATGTTTCCCAGGTTCCTGGACAGCAAATCCAAGTTATGAGGTGTAGCCCTCAAAGGTGTAGACCCCAAACTACCAGCGCCGAGGCACTGAGCTACGTCGTCGGCTGCATGATCCGATTGTTTTCAGTTTTCGGGCGCCCACAGGATTCAGTGATCCCCGGCCCCCCGTGTAAACTCAAAGTGCATTGAGAGGACGTTGGCACGTGTGGGCCCTCAAGTTTTGTGTTTAGACAGACCCCCCTTCTGTCTAGGACATCTTGGGGTGCCATCTAGTCTGAAGCCAGTGTAGTTCAGCAGCGCTTGCTTTATATAGAGAATTTGTCAGAAGCACGAGGCGGTTCTCGCAAGTCCCCATCTTTGCCACCAGGACCCCTGATCTTGGCGACCTGATCTTCTATGTGTTTCTCCTTAGTATCTCACAGAAGGCTGCAGGCTTTGCTTCCATCAAGATGCCAGGGTTGCCACTGAACTCCAGGAATAGCCACTTAATTAGGTGGTTTGGGGGACCTGCGGCCCGCCGAAGAGAGTGTCTTTAATGGCGGTGTATGTCTGTATTTTAAATTGTGTATAGTGGTCCCCAACTAGAAGCGCCTTCCAACACATTCTGAAACCTTAGTGGTGAATCCACTTTTTCTATCTAACTTCCATTTGAAGGGCTCTAGCATTGCCAGGCTATACCTGACCATGTATGCCACTAGCGATGGCCTCGGCATTCATGCCTTGTGGCCTTTCTGCGGCGCGTGCCGAGGACCGACGAGCGTAGCAACACCTCTGGAGGCCCGGCATGGGCCGTTCGGTGCTCTCAGCCGATTGTTGGTCCGGTGCATCGTAGATCTTCCTGTTGTCGTGTTTATTTTTTTTTGTTCGTTCTTTTTGGTTTGAAGTTTTATGTTCATGGTGACGAACTGGGTTTTTTCCCCATTGAGTCCAAGCTCACCGGATAGTTACCTAGAAGGTCGCGGACTAGAACTTGGAATGTCGCCACCCTCTCCCACGACGCACGACTGTCATGGGTATGTTGAAGTCCATGACGGTCCCAACTGGGTATGCTGGCGAGGATGCAATACTTAGCGGGGCCCAACTCCAAAGCCTACCTAACCCAGACACTCCATTTGCACCAGAGGCAGCCTACATTGGGGTGGTTTCAGGTGATCGAAAAGGGCTCCATTTAGGATCATTTAGGCATATGTGGGGCTTGTCCCATGACCAGTCACAGTTGATTTAAAGAAAACACATAGACCATTTTGCTTGCAGATGGAAAGCAAGGCCTGCAACGCGGCGGCCCTATCGTCATCCACATCCGGCCCAGGGATAGGATCTACCCAAGGCATTTTGGCATGGCACTCCCGGAGCTCGTCGAGGGAGCTGAGACAGCCAGGCTGGGAGGTACGGCCAGACAGCCGGCAGAATGGCAAGGTGGCCAGCACCACAGGCAGGGCCGGAGTGATGGGCATGGCGGGAGTGATGAAGAGTAGAGGAAGAAGAAGAAGAAGAAGAAGTGGCTGCGGCTGTGGCTGTGGCAGTGATGGTTCTTTATTGGATCCGCTGTAGCTTTTGCATGGGCGGGGGTTAAATGTAGATAGGACCGGAAAGCGTTTCCTCGATATTCTTCCTCGGAGGAGTCCTCTAGGTATGTCAAGCAGCCAAGCAGGCAGAAATACGTCATATATATGTCAAACTATGACCATCCGGTGACTGGAACACACCATTTGTCAACTAAAATGCCGAACCCCCCACGAACGTGCTGCTTCCAGCTTCATCTCCACCGTTTCACGCTTCGGAGTCGTTCTTTTTTCTGGGGTCCACCACACCGGTCAGGTCCAACGGGCCCCTGATCCCGATCCCTTCCACACCCCTGGCGCTGCGGATCCGCCTCCCACCGGAGCCGACCATCGGCAGGCGAGGTGCGGAACCGGCCTGCACCACCGGTGCCCGCCTCAAGTTGGCGCTCGGTCCTGGGCATCGCGCCCTCCAAGGACCGAGACGAAGCCTTTAGTTGTTTTTTGTCCGGGGCGAGCGGGTCGGTTGAGGTGGGATGCGGGTGGGTTTGGAAGGGTTTTCTTGGAAGGGGGTGGC